GCTGGGAGTCCGTCACGCGCCGGCTGCTGCGCCTCGAGCCCCTGGAGCGCCGCTCCCCCCTGCGGCCGGTCCTGAACAGGGCCTGACCCGGCCCAGCCGGCCCGCCCCCCACGCCATCACGGGAGCCGCTGGACGACATGCCTCCCGGCGTGTTTCTGCACTTGCCCTGGTGTATGTTTACCGCAAGATGCACTTGCCCTTCTTTCAATCAGACTGTGCTTTGGGGATGATTTTCTAGATTTAAATAGGAGGTAGTTTCATATATGGAACTTAATAATAATAATACTTACTGACATTTATATAGCAGTTTCTGGACACTCAACTCAAAGCGCTTTACAGGTACTGGGGATCCCCTCCACCACCCCCAGTGTGCAGCCCCACCTGGATGATGGGAATTGCTGTTCTGGTACAGCAGTCATGAAAGTGCTGTACAATCACTGACAGAAATAAAGCGTCAAACTTTCGGTATTGATTGCGCTGGTGCTGTTCCTGCAAATAGATTGTGAAACACCTCTGAAGGGGGAATAAATAATGCAAACCACAGTCTGGTGTACACGTGGTGACTTCTCTGCTAACTACCGGTGCTCTGGAGCCAACACTCCATGGCCTCTTCGTTCGTTTCCAGGGCCAGTGAAAGGGGACCCGCAATGCTGCTTTTACATTTCAGGATTAGGAAGACCTGGCATTGAGGTGTGCACTACAAACCACCAGACCAAGTAACATGGTAACATGCAAAACCACAATGAGTGTAGACGGTAAACATGTGAAATCTCAACTTTACGTCATAAAATAGACAGTTTCCCAGCATGCGCAGCACCATTGTCCGCAATTCCAAACGAGGTAAAACACACTGTAAACAAGCAGGCTCGTGAATATCTCTCTTTTAATCCAACGGAAAACTTGCTCGAGGATTCAAGATGGTTTTGTCAACAACTACCAGTTAACTCTGCATACAGATCTTGATGGAACGTATTTTGCTGCACAACCTGTACTTTCACAAAGTTAAGAGATTTTTTTCTGTGCGCAGTTCAGAATTTGTAAAACGTTGCCATACTGTCGATTCATTGTTGTTGCCGAGATTTAATGACCGGTCTGAGACATAGAGACTGCAGTTCGCCTGCGAGGTGAATTTAGCTGAAGCAGGGGCGGCCCCTAGTGGTCAAAGGGAGGTGGCTTACAGTGCAAAGCTCTTTACACGAACTGCACTTCGAACACTTACAGTTACAGTTTTACAGGGTACACGTCACCCTCTGGAACTGGATGAAGCCAGGCCTTAAAACAACACTGGTGAAATCTCCATGCGTGGCAAACATACTGTATAAGTAAAAAACAGATTCAAGTCAAACCCCCTTCCAAGAGCTCGACGACAATCAAGTGCTGCAACACAACACAAGATACCCACTGGATTTTCGGTTTGTATTTATTTTACTTAATTAAGACATTTAGAACCGCGTTCTAAAATTCATGAAAAGAATGACAGTTGAAATACATACAATAGTAAAAGAAAAAGACATTCAAAGGGATTCGAGACTATGTACACAATTCCTCCTCAGCTGGCTACACGGAATCAACTCTTTTGAAAGTGACCACGCTGGACACCTTGTGGATTGCAGTGTCGAAGGAACGGAGGAGCACCTGTTCCGATTTGGCGATTAGCTGTGGACCAGACTCCTCCCACTTCTCTGGTACCTCCATGTCTTTGTCTGTGTAGATCAGGAGGTCAAACGCACCTGGAATGTAAAAACCAGCAAACTCGCAATTCAAGTCTTTAAGTAGTACTCTGTATTCACCTTCCAAAAAAGCATCGGATATTTTTTTTGCACGTTAAAGGAAGGCATCTATCCATATGGAAGACACCTGCACTGCAAAGTTTGCAAGGCTTTTACAATTAAATCTTTGACAATTCCATGTGCCTCTTTGTAATTCATATTTTTGCTACATACTGTAGGAGATGCCCAATTTTACAGCCAAGTGAAGTGTCCTCATCAATTCCCAAATCTCTTCCTCTCTTTCTAGGGCTCTCATCAGTTCATCTCATCCTTCTTTATGAACTTCGTAAATCCTACGAACACTCTTCTGGAGCTTGACACGCTTTTGCCTTTGCATGAGAACTTCCAACTAAAATGCTGGCACTGGGTCAATTACAATTTGCGGTAGTGTATTCTTGTAGTTAATGTGCCGCAGCATCAAACCGTTTTTGCACAACCTTAACACACAATCACTGGAAAATTAAAAATTGATTTCCCTAAAAATTGGCATTGAGAGAATCCCACACGGTGAAAACATCAAATGCAACCACTGTCAGTACTTACAATCTGTTTCCAAGACGGGCAGAAAGGTTACAGTGGCAGTGATCTGTCTGATGATGATCTGGATTTCCTTTTGGATGGCTTTAATCGATTTTTCTCGTGGACAGCTGTTTGTAAAACAAAAAAAAGCCGTATTCTAAATGCAGAGTGATATAAAACAAAAAATAACCCACACTGAAGCACAAAGACCTTTTGATTTCAACAAGTTGTTTATACTCTGGAAATTGAACACGAGATATTACAACTACCTTGACTGAAGAATAGCACAAACACTTCCTAAACCAAGACATCTGGACAACATTGTAAATCATAAATAAGAAATGCTTTACAACTGAGTTTTCTTAAATTATAAGTTTAAGCAATCCTTTAATCAGAACTGGTTAAGGGAATTCTGACACAATGGTGTTACTATAGAAGCCATACAAAAATTAGTTCCCTTTCCTCCATTAAATTATTAAATACCTCGATTCCTTTGCAGTCTTGTCACACTGAATATCAAACTGCCATCGCTCCAGGACCTCATTGGTTTCCAGGCTTATAATGACGATGACTAGCTTCTGTACGGTGCAGTCAACTAGCCAGTCTTTAAATTAAAGAAAGATGTTGACATACGGTTTATAGAAAGTGCTTAATGTTTACTACTTTCAAAACACAACAAGCCTCCCACTTGCAAAACATCTGACCCATTTCAGGTTCGACAAGCCTCCAGGGCCTGCTCCTTCCAGAGGTACACAAGCCAGGTGAAACGTGGTGTTCGAACTTGCCCCTAATTAAGAACTTGAACAGAAACCAGCAAAGATTCATACCATACTTAACACGGCTTACAGCTTCATGGCAAAAACAGATTCAAGAAAATCTGCAAATAACCTACACTTCCAGTATTCATGAGTCAAGCTTATTACCTGGTAACATACACAGAAGAACACTGCTATTTTTCAGGAAAACAGTAAACATTGGGATATATAGTTAAGTATGGGAAGTTTAAATCAAGAGGTTGAGCAATGCATTACTAAAGCCTTGACTACAATTGTACAATTTTTGTCTCAACATTGCAAAATAGACATTACTGCACAGACCAGAGACAAGCAACCAGACATTCCCAGGTTTAAAAAAGCACCCTACCCTGACAGGGTGCTCACCTTTTTGGTCTTAAACAGAGAATACCAAGATTCAATAATCCAAACTCCTTTAAGGCACAAACAACGTCAACCCAACAGAAGTGCCCTTTGTACCACAATGCTTCTGTCTGGGTTAGGACAGTGTTACAAACGGGGGGGTTACGAAACTGGTGAAAATCAGGAATTGACCAAGTGGTTCCGTCAATCACTGAAATAATTATTGATCATCCCCAACGTGTACGTGATTTCTAACCATAAACCCCCGTGGCTGGTATAACTAGAGGCACGTGAATTCTCTGCTCTCTGGCACAGCTTTACAGAGGAGTAATCCAGGCACACTTGGCTAAGGGAAGCGCATGATTCTTTTTTCACAAGCCGCGTTGCCTTTCAAGTCGTCCAGGGGATCAAGACTCCCAGCGCACAGTGCGATTCAATCCGGGACAGAGGCGCTGCACGCTTGGTTAAGCCAGCAGCACATGTACCCAGACTGCGCTCTCCCTCGAGCGTGCCCGTGTGGACAGGCGTGCGCCGCCTGTTTCGACAGTGAACGGCAAGCCACTGCCTGTCACTCCTGCCAGAGCTCGGCGTCCCTCTTTCACCCCAGTGTGGTTTAGAAATGCCACTGAAATGATCCAAGTGTCCCAGCCTAAAGAGCAAAATCCGCCTGTATGTTCCTGCGTATTAAACACTTACTCAATTTTCTGTTCGGTTTTCGCCGTAGCTTGTCAATTCCTTCTATAAGTGACATGAGAAATAAGAGGACGTCACATGGCCCGCAGCGGTCATGTCCAAACTGACAGACCCGAGGATCTCATCCGGCAGCGTCTTGGAACGAGACTGCGGCGAGGCACCTTCATCCACACTCCTCCTCCGCTCTGAGTCAATCAAAGTGCCTCCCCCCTTCCCTGTTCCAAACACCATTTCACCGAGTCTTCATGTTTCATTGCCGATTCTGAAGAAGCCTGGAAAGACGACTTACCTTTCAGCTGTCCCACCACATTGGTCAAGTAGTTCTTCAGCTTGGGATCGGTCGTCACGTACAGAGGCATATCGTAGTGAGTGACTCGGGTAAACGTCTCTGGAGGGTAAATCCCTCGTTGGTATAAGATATTGTTGATGCCAAACGCTGTGAAAAATGAGAAGGTCCATTTTTTCAAAATAGTGCAGAGTACCATAACCTAAACATTGCATATTAGAGTTCCATTTTAAGTACGCCAAACCAGAAAAATACACGAGGCGAGCTACACGAAGTTTCTGGAGACTGGCTAATCGATCTATTATTGCACGCAAGACACCTCCCTCGTGTCTTTGGGCCGAGAGTCCTATTCTAAAGAATAACAGGAGACAGACTGGCGCATCGCAGGTCCTGTAAACAGAACACGGCCGGGTCAGCTCAAAGACATCCCGGACCTAGACGTGGCGAAAACCAGCGATGACGAAAGAGAAGATCACTTTATTGTCCATATACAAGTTCTTGCATTAGGAATCTGTCTTTTCTCATACCCCAGCTTGTTCTCCATGAGACACACAGACAGGGAGAGAAGCTGGGGGTCAGAGCGCAGGGTCAGCCATTTATACAGCGCCCCTGGAGCAGCTGGGGTGAAGGGCCTCGCTCAGGGGCCCAACGGAGAAGGATTCCTCTGCCGGCCGCAGGAACTAAACACACACTTTTGTGCATGTCATACCTCTCAGTACACAAACGCTAGCTCGTACTTAAAAACTGTGTACAGCACTCAGTGCTCTGGGGTTTTCAGAAGGGGCGGTTTCTTATTCATGGTGCAATGACATGACGGGGGGGGGGGCACTTTTTCATCCAATTAGTTGGCGCATGGGGTCTTAAAATCCCACAAACACCGAATAGTTAGACAAAAGCTTCCCACTGCTTTTTTTTTTGTTCAGTGAAGCGTGATACAAGTCGATAACTTCCGCTGCACGGCTCCCGACTCCTTTTAATAATGCAGCTAGGTAGATCCGCACTCACACCCTCGACGGGGCAGAAACAAAGGCCTGGTTCCTATTTTACCGAGTTTGTTTTGTTCCTTCGCACCGGGGGCTAACTTTCGCCCCCGCCATCGCCACCCCCCACCCAATATCACCAATGACGCCTCCGACTCACAGAAAAACTCCGCCACCAGCTCGGCGCTGCCCTTCAGCGTGATCCCCGTTAGCGTGCTCTCCATGTCGACGGCGCAGCTCCCCGCTCCTCGGTTTGAAACAGGGGAGCGACCTGCGCGCACTTTTGAAAACCAACAGCCAAGCAGGAGGCGCAGCGCTGATGACGTCGGCGGTGACGTCGCGCCGCCTCCGGGCGTTCTGGGATCCATTGCTAATCCTGAGCGCCCTCGGCTGCGCGGACATAGCGCTGGTAAAGAGTTGTGTGAAGGCGATTGGGGTTTTTTTTTATGTTCATGGAGAAACCAAAAAAAATAAACAACAGCAGACAGTTGTTACGGGCAAATGCCTAAATATCTTGAAGATCCCAGGCTCCTCTGCTTTGAACAATACAGTTCAAACAGAGGGGATCGAGAAAGTTTTCAAAAACATCGGCTTTGAACGATGATTTGCAATACTCTTGGTCTATTTCTGTTACCAATTACCATAAACCGACTCCCCTAAACAGATCCTTCTATCCTGGTATTTTATTTATTAATTAGCAGATTGTGCAGACCGAAAGTTAAATTCGACGGTAACTCGAGTTCAGCGTCACTTCAACGTCTCATCTGATGGACCGCACCTGCTAGATACTGAGCTGCTGGTTTTAGGATATTTCTGCTTCTTCTTCAGGATGTCTTCCGCAACAATTCAAAACACGGGTTCAACAACACCACTTCCAGGAACAATGGAGAGCACGTCCGCATTGTTGTTTTTGCAATACTCTCCCACCTTTTAGATGTAACCAGACCGCCTCCAGCGAACCTACAGCACCCCCATACCAATACTTGTATGAAGGGGTTAATATTGTATTGGAAATTGACTGGGCCAGATCGTGGCGGCGCTGGGAGAAACGCGCCTTGTTCCCAGTCCGTACACACCCAGGTCTTCAGGGAGACCAGTGGCCGGCGAGCCGGTGTGGTTCCCAGTTCAGTGTCCCCTGGACATCTCGCAGGACTCTTCTCACCCCGCACATACAGCATGATTGCTAAGCAAAACATTAGGATAAAAGACGCGCCCCGCCTTCCCGGTCTGCCCCTCCTGCCTGTCACTCGCCCGGGGCCTGCAGTCACCTGTCACACGACTCTGGTCCCTAGCTAAGGCGTGGAAGACACCCAGAACCCGATATAAACACACGCTGGAGCCGCCGGTGTGATTCAGGTCCCGGAGAGCTTTGGGAGCGCGGATCTGGCGGGTTACGGACTTCCAGGGTTACACTGAACCGGACTCGACACCGGGACCAGAACCGCGCCTGCCGGGCACGGCGTCAGATCAAACCCCAGAGTGCTCGATCTATCGGGGGTTCGTGGTTGACACACCGCGAAGACATTTCAAAACACGTAAAATGTCGTCGCAGATTCCAGAAACACAATAATAAAAACTGACACCTAAAATACCTATAAATCAACGCCCCTCAAATTCCTATTGAGTGCATGTTGTGCACCGTGATTCTGCAGTTTTAATACGCGCCGGATTTCATGCCCGTTCGGTGTGCATGCTCTCACAGCTCGCTCCCGTGCCTGGTTACTGCACACGCCGCTGTTCGACACGTGATCCTGTTATTCCCCGTGTGTTCAGTCTGTCACCTCCCCACGCGTGTCGCACACACCCGGACGCACAGGTCTCAGGCCAGCCCTCTCCCTGCGGAGAATGCTGACGTCCTCCGTCACCGCACACTTCATTTGTAAAGCATCACGTTCTATTCATGTCGTTTAAAATGTTTCATTCCCTACTGACCCAATATTTTGGGTATTTATTCGCTTCACAATGAATTGCACTAATTATATATATATTTGTGTGTGTGTGCGTTTTGCGCTAGAACGCAAAGCAAAGGCTGGTGTCTCCCGGAATCCCCACTCTGTCTCAGAACGAGCTTTGCGAATCCTCTGCGAAAACAAAATTCAGCAAAACCTCCCCGATCTCAGCCGGGAGGGTTTGGAAACCTCCGTGATCTGTGCTCGACTCGGGGTTTCACGAGAGCACCCCACGCGCCACCCAGCCCCAGGGGCGCAGCTCGCGCTACACTGCGACAGCGGGGTCCGCGAGCTGCCCCGCGATTGGTCGAGGCGCCCGGCCAGCCGCCGATTCCCGCCTACTTTCTCATCTCCTTGTCTGATAGGCCACCCAGCGGCGTCATTCATCGCCATGCGCGCTACCATTGGTTATCTGCCGCCCATAATTCCCCGCCCCCCCTGCGGCGCGGCCGTCCCGCCCCCTGAGGGCCAGAGGCTCGAGTTGGTCGCGGCTGGGGGGCAGGCCTGGCGGTCGGCTGTGGCGCAGACGTGCGGCGTCAAGTTCATTGAAAAAGAAGGGAAGAAGACGAGCAAGAACAAGGAGGAAGCGAGGAAAAGAAACAGGGAGGCGAGGAAGGCGGCGGGAGAGATGGCTGAGCACTCGGCGGGGGCGGCCGAGCGGTCGGAGCCCGGCGACGGCGGGCAGGAGGAGGGCGAAGAGGGGGACGTGTTCGAGGTGGAGCAGATCATCGACATGAGGACCTCCAAGGTGAGCCCGGAGCCCGGCCCGGGGCCCGGGGCGGCCCGGCGTCCGTGTCTGGGAGCCCGCGGCCAGGCGGAGTTGGGGCTCCGAGGCCCGTACCGCAGGGGTCACTTCCCGGGCTCTGTCCTGCCTGGAGAGAGAGAGATAGTCTTCGTCTCTCTGTTTATAGGTTGTTGTTTTTTTTATTAATTACCTCCTGTTGTCGTCGTCGTCGTGGCTGTTGCGGTTGTTGTGGTTTTCCCCGCTGTGCATGCAGCCGTGCCCGGGTTTTGAAGAGTTAATCGGTGAACTGGGATGTGTCACACGTTAATACTGCGGCGGCCCGGGTCAGGGCAGGCGACAGAGAGGACTCCTCGGTCAGCCGGGTGGCTGTGAGAGCGGACCGCTGGGGGCGGGGGCGGGGGGTTGATTTTTGCCCCGCAGTTTGGATTGCCGTCACGTTTGGATTTATGCTTCGTCAGTCTGTCGGTCCTTCCCGTGTCTTGACCGGTGTCCAGTGCCCGGCCCCTCACACACACACATATATAAACCCGCCGCTCATTTTCCCAAGCGCACAGTCCAGACGAGCTGTAGTCAACGGCCCTGCTGCTCTACGCGACGTGTTTTGTACAGTATGCGTTTGTCACTTGGGGGGTCAAATTCGTTTTAATGTCTTCGGCTCGGTAAGACCACTAATACTTATAGGGCGGCTTCCTGTTAAACTTGACACCCGGGCAGAAGAGGGACGTTCATGGGGTTTTAAAAGTCCCTGAACCCCGAAGAGTGAAAGATGGCGAGTTTTATTTTTGAACCCACCCCAGTGCAGGGCAAAGCCCCCTGCTTGCTTTTAAAGGGTGGAGCCGACACGAAGACCGGAGAGCCGGAGTCTCCCCGCTCTTCGGAGTGGGTGCTGAAGGGTTGTGCCCGTTCCTGGCCACCTGCTTCAGCCTCCCCACCACCTGCTGCTTCAGCGATGCCTTTGCCACCCCTCTCCAGATGACCGAGTGTCTTACAGTGCCGCTGCTGCTGCCAGGGCTACAGGTTTCCCCTGCAATCCACCCCAGTCGGTTTCAATGCGTAAATAGTATTGCAATCCCAGGAGAACCCGCAGGGAGTGAGGTTTCCTCTGGAGCAAGTTCGCTCACAACGAACCTTTGCCCGCCAGTTGGTGCGTCTCGGAGCTCTGCAGCCGATGGAAGTTCTGCCCTATTCTGAGTCTCCAGCCCAGTACTCTTTCAGTTGGCACAGTGTGGGAGACTGTTGTTGTCCCTCGCATTATAGCCTGGCGCGTGTTTTCCCTCGCTCTCCGCGGTGCACGGTGTTTCCTTATTTTTATCTTCTGCAGTGCAGTGTTCTTTAGTATACAGCTCCGCTGAGCCCTGCTCGACCCTAGATCGCCAAGGGTGCTGGGACACTGACACGGCCTCTGGGCGGACGAGTCGTCCTCGCCGGCGTGGACGGAGAGGGCCGTGGCCACACCTGCCGTGCTCTGTGCCGGGGAGCCCGGGGGGCCCTTCTCTTTGTGTCTGGGCTCGGGCCCCTGGGAAGAAGTGTCGGGGTGTGCCTCCGAGTGCAACAGCCGCTAATCTGGAGGGGTTCCTGTTGCCAAGGCAGGCTGCGCCGACACACTCTGCGCGTGGCAGATGGCTGCGGATGCCTTGGGGAGTTGGGGGGGGGTGTTTTGAAGTCGGGGTGGCGAGAAGAGACCCCCAGGGCCGCAGGAGCTGGTGGAGCAGAGAGGTTAGCAGGGCCTGTGGCGGCGCTGGGCCTGAGCTACAGCCGGGGAGTCTGGCAGCGAGCCAGTCTTCGCCCCGCCCCGCCTTTCCGAGCTCGTCTGCCCTCGGCAGATGAGGCGCTTGCACCTCTGAGGTCCTGTCTGCCGAGTCCCAGAAGCCCTTATAATCCGCTGGGGGGGCTCTCTCGCTGAGCTGAGGCTGCAGCGAGAGAGCGGGGCTGTGTGTGGCAAGCACTCTGTGTAAAAAAAACAAAACAAAACGTGAACCCTACAGTTAGGCTTCATGTTTTTCAAGAAACCTTCCTGAGACCTGCTCAGGTCTAGAGAGAGCCCCTATAGTAGTGAGATCAGAGTACCGGAGGGCCCCTGCAGTTCTGATCTGCCCTCGTGGTCTCTTTCAGAGGGCGGCGACTGACCGCACTCCTCCATCCCTTCGATGTGGATATAAATAGGAAGGATGAGCACAGAAGAAAACCTCCCAACAAGAGGAGGCCCTTCAGCCCATTTTGCAGTTAAAAGCCAATTAATCAAAAGGTCCTGTCCATACCTTTCTTGAAAGAAGCCGGGGTATCAGCCAGCTGTGTTGCTGGAGCAGTCTTATTCGGCATCCCACCCTTGTTTCATAAAGATGTCTCCTCTCGTTTGTCAGTGCACTTCCTTCCACAGTTTTTTTTTTCCCCCCGTGCGTGCTCTCTTGCCGACGTGGTCGCATTCGTGCGGTAAAACCTTGGTTTGATCTGTTGTAATGAAGGTGCTCCGGGGACCTTGATGTGGCGTTGGTGAGTGTCCTGTGGAGTATGTCAGGAGAATGTCAAGTGGCCCTGGTCCCCAGGGTGGCGTGCGCGGCGAGGGCTTCATCCGGCTGACCCGCCTCTCTTCCCGCGCGGCAGGGGGAGGTCCTGTACCGAGTGCGCTGGAAGGGCTACTCCTCCGGAGACGACACCTGGGAGCCCGAGTCTCACCTGGAGGACTGCGACGAGGTGCTGCAGACCTTCAAGAGGAAGCTGGGTGAAAATAAAGCAAAGAAGGACAATATGGTAAGGAAGAGTTCTCTTTTTTTTTTTTTTCCCCCTCAATGCATGTAGGGTCTTTAAAAAAGTGACATAATTATCAAGGCTACTTGACATTTTCCCAATGGGTAAACAACAAAATCACACCTTCTCTCTGTGGAGCTGTCTCAGACTGGGACCACAAGAAGGTTATAGCCAGTTATTCACTGGTGATCTTATTCATTTTTGGCTGCAAGCTTAATGGCAGCTGCACCTGACCTCTGCATAGCCATACAAGAGAGTGTGTGGAGCAATTTCAAGCTAATTCCCACATTGCTCACAGGCCTTAGAAATGCTTCAGAAGGTGAGTTATGCTCTGCAATAATGAATAATGCAACGTTGCTTATTCAGACCTCAAACCAACGTTTGGCTTCGGGTGGAAAATCGCAGTGGGCACCGTCTTAGCCTTTTTTATCCTGTAGGGTATGATGTCAGCCATGCTCATTTTGACAGCTCACAGTTTGAATCTCGGAAACAAAAGTTAAGTCAAGCAAGTTACTGTGCCTGTGACTAACGTTTTCTCTCTTTTTTTCATGTCGCACTTCAGTGAATTTTCTCCCCCTTCTGTAGGAATTAGAATCCAGGGATGGCGCGCAGGTTGGTGTGGTTTGTGCTGCAGATCTGGTTATTTAAACTCCGCAGCGGAGAGCAGCACGGAGGCACTTGTCATGTTAACCCAGAAAGATCAGGGGTCTTGTGCATCAGGGCCCATGAGCCTGTGCATAGTGGAAAGGCTCCAGTGACTGTGGACAGCTGGTCTAAAGCAGAACACTGTAACCTGAGCAGCTCGGGAGGGGTGGTAGGTCAGCCGCGCCCCAAAGCTTACATGCTGTTATCTCGCGGAGATAGTGAGGTTCTCTGCTGCCAGCTCCTGCTCTGGAAGCCTGGGTTCTGTCTCGCTGAAAGCTGAAGCGCCAGTCGAGAAGCGGCGCCGTTCTAATCCTTCTTACATCTTGGAAAATGCAGGTGGAGGGTGCACAGGTGGAGAGAACGCAGGCAGTAAGCTGTAGTACAGTGCAGGAATGGGCACCCGAGGTCAGTATTGGAGCTGATGAGGAGCAGGTGGCAGTGGCAGCCAGTGGGGCTCAGACGGACACGTCGCAGGAGGTAAGGGAAGCCCTGGGAGCGCAGGAGGAGCCGGTACTTGTTCTAGAGGGGTAGAAGGAGGTGCGCCAATGTGGGCGTGTGGACCCCACCCATAGTGCCCTCGGGACCTCAGAGCCGTTGAAATGAAAAGGGCAGATGTGTAGAAAGTCTAACCTTTCTCTGCATACCTTTTTCCTGGACACTCGTACCCGTGGACAGAATGAAATGCCTGGGAGGGGGTGTAAGACGCACCATGTGTGGCTGGAATCCTGCCCAGTGCCTTTTGTCCCTTGCCGGGTTTAGCATTCTTCTCCTGGTACTCTGCACGAGTTTCAGACCAGCTCCGGTCTGGGCCGATCCTGTTAGTTTTTTTCTGTAATTTTGAGAATCGTCATTTTTTTTTGTTTGTTTTTTTGTTTTTTTTTGTTTTTGTTTTTTACACCTGGATTTAAGGTAGCCTACGGTGTCCCGTGGCCCATCACAGGGGTTGTGGCCTGACAGGATGAGAGCGTAGGCAGACTCTCGGGCCGCTTGCCCTTCAGCCCCGTTGCGGGAAGCGCAGCCCCTTGCCACAGCTCGGCTCCAGCTGGAGAGCAGCACCACGTGCCTGCAAGAGCCCTGAGGGCCCTGGAGACTGTCCCCCCCAGCCCCCCCCCCCCACCTCTGTCGGCGCTCAGAGACGTGATCCAGGCACCAACCACGTGCCTGTGCCAGCTCAGGCACCTGGGAGCCCTCTGCGGTGGATTTGTTTTTTACCTTGTTTCTGTCCCTAATGGAAATGGCTAACTGCTTGCTACAAAAAGTACCTTCAGTACCTGTTAAAATGACATAATGTACTCCTGAAGAAATGAGGTTAGAACGTTGCACCGAAAGCGAAATGACAAATCCGAGCTGTCGCAACAGGTGAGAAGGTCAAAACGGCGCAGGAATTGAATGGTAGTGCAGAGTCACACCCTGCTTTTGAGCACAAATGGGCACTGAGATTATAAATATGGCAAAGTACATGAAGTGATGAACTTGGTTGCGTGCAGTTAGTACCAGTACAGTCCTTGGTGACTACTACAGCTCCAGGTGCTTCTCAGATGGGAGCCTGGCTGCACAATGGACAGACTTCTGTTCATGTTGCTGATGGTAGTTGGAATAGAATGGTAGATGTGTGCCTCCAGGTAGAGTCTGTTTGTAATAGTTTTTTTCTACTGTGTCTGTTAGGGCTCCAAGCTTAACTGTGGTCCCACTTTCTGATGCAAATGCAAGGCAAAAGTTTGTCCAGGCTAGTTCTTTGTTCATCAAAGGAAAACGTTTCAGAGAAACTGGCAAAGAATGGTGATGCCTGGCATTGTATTTGTCTTCCTAAATTGCAGGTTTTTCAGCTAGCCACCTCTTGCTTCCCGCTGATTGCCTTTGCTGACCTACTAATAAGGACCATTCAATCCATAGATTTTCTCATAGAATTCGTGATGAAGTGTTGGACCCGTCACTGTTAGTTCTGCTGCAACATTCGATTTTAGTTAGACTTCTGCAAACAGCTGTTTCTCCTAAACATTTAGAGACGCTTATGATTTGTCCTGGATAGTTTTTTGACAACTGCATCCAATGCCTTAAACAGGGTCTAAAAAACAATGGTATATCATGTACTAAATTATTAATATTGAAACATATACGTGCCCAAAGGACTTTATGGACAGTGCTAATTATTGAGCTATATTGTCTGCCCGGTACGATAGCAAGTATTTCTGCTGTCATATATGAAGTAGGTTATTAAACACTTTATCTGCAGGTCCCCTTTAGATAGTTTAGTCTTTTCCTGTTCCTGTTGGTTTATTACAGTTTCTTTTTTAAAAGTGTCCTGACCTTACTGCTAACCAAATTGAACTCTATTCTATCCCTTTCCACTGGTTTCCTGTAGTTGGTATCAGTTTTTTTGTCTGTTCATTAGTATCTGTATATTTACTTTGTCCCATTTATGCATCATGGCTGACATACCTAAGGCAGAGGAGTGTTTGCCCACTTAATGGCTTTATATTTAGTTTAAATATAATTTAATGACTTCATCTGAAAATTAAATGAAAAGAACATTTTATTTGAAGGAATGAGTTTTATTTAACCAGTTACTGCTATTATTGATTGTCCTCAGTGTTTAGTATGAAATTAGCACTTGACACTGGATCTAAGGTTTTGCACTTCACTACCTTAGAAACCTGATAAGTTTTCAGTGAAAGGCCTTCCTTCCCAAATGGGACAGAAAAAAATCCCAGGCCTGCACGAGTGTTCAAAGACGCTTATGTTTATAAACAGTGTTTTCGCTGTAGTTTCTGGAACACGGTGAATAAGACATTACTCATTCTGCAGGGAAGTTTCTACCTTCCAAAAACCGCAGCTGGAGAAAAGATATTTATCTAAGCCAGCCAGTGCTTATGATTTTGAGAGAAGAAATTCAACCTTTGTCAAACTTGGACTTAAATTGAGGCCGAGAACAATCCTTTTTGGTTTAAGAGCAGATATATACTTGTTGGCCTTTGGTATTTGGGAGATTCATGCTAAACTTGGGTGGGGAAAGAGCTGGAGGAACTACAACAGATTCATGACGCCTTTATGGTCTTTTTCTCTCTTTAGAAGCTTCCCATGAAGAGCGACCTGTTTGATGCGGACTCGGAGAGCGAGGCAGACAGGAAGGAATCCCCTTCAAGGAAGGTGAAGAAGAAAAAGAAGGTGAAGGAAGGATACAGTGCCGCAGACGGTCAGAGGAAAGACAAGGAGAAGAAGAGCAGGTCCGATCAAGCGGCTGGGCCCGAGGGTAAGGACTCCGAGGAGGGAGACAGCGAATCGGCAGCCTCCGTGGCCGACGCTGGGAAGCCATCAAAGGCCAAGAAGAGAGCTGTGGAGCCGGCGGAGGAGCTGAAGGCCAACAAGAGGCAGAAGAAAGAAGAATCCAAAGGTCCAAAGCACAGGAAGGTCCCCGGCAAGAGCAAGAAGAAGCATAAGGGCTCCAAGGAGCACAGGAGTGACGCGGAGAAGCAGCCGGACTCCGCGGAGGACTCCCCTCGGGAAGACGCTGCCGAGCCCCAGGCCGAGCCGATGAGCGTGCCGACTGAAGGAAGCGGCGCAGAAAGCGTCGCGCCCAGCTCCTCGGAGAAGACCCCTCTCCCGACTCAAGGCGACGCGGACCCCTGCTCCGAGCAGGGACCCCCAGAGCAGAAAGCCGCCTGCAAGAAAACCAAGGTGCAGCAGCCGGGGGAGACTAAAGTGAAAGCCCTGCTAGTGAAGGAGCCCGCGCAGGAGAAGAGGAGTGGGAGGCCGGAGGGCCAGCTACAGAGGAAGGAGAGTACCCACGCCAAGCTCAAGAATCTGCTTCTGGCCAACAGGCCACCGGACTCGGCGGCCAAGGCTCACAAAGCCCCGAAGAGCGCGGCGGAGGACGAGCCGGGGTTCCTCTCCTCGGACTCCAACGAGGGGGGCAGCTCGGTGAAGAAGAAAGGCAAAGGCAAAGCCCGGGACGCCTCGCCCAGGGCCCCCAGCAGGGCCAAGCAGGACGAGGCCAAGCTGGATCCTCCCTCGGGCTCGGGGGCCGCGGGGAAGGGGAGAGACGCCGGCAAGCCCGCGAGGCCCGAGGAGCCGATGGAGTCCCCCAACCTGTTCGAGAAGTTTCTGTTGACGTGCGAGGCGAAGGACAGGATGCCCAGGAGGCCGAGTAGCCACACGCCCAGCTCCGCCGTGGAAGACAAAGCGGACCAAACGAAGATTTCCCCCAAGGTGTGCTGATCTTCTCGTGCCTTTGCGCGTCGTCGGCTAGCTCTGTTCAGATGTTCGTACCTCGCGTTTGGTGAACCAAGGTTTTCTTCAGCTGCCAAAGAAACAAAGTTCATATTTTGAAAGAAATGACCAATTTCACTTTTTCTGACTCATTTTCTGCATGAATTTACATTTCACTACGTTCCTACGATGAGAACAAAGCACTTGTTCCACACGTAGTTTGTGCTGCATTGCTCTGCTCGAGTTGGGGTCGGAAGTGAAGTTAATTCATGTTGTGGTTCTCGCTGGCTGGTCAAGTGATGACCTGCTCTTGGTGGGAGGGAAGGAGTTTTTGGTTGGAGGTGCTCGGCCACCCCGCCAGAATAACGCATGTACTGCATCCTTGAAAACCTGAGCAGGCGCAAGTGTAGGTCCCTTCCACACACCATGAATGCGATTCTTGGGAGAGCACTGTGGGACCAGGGCTGCCGTCAGTCTTTTAGAACCTGTGGGACAGCTAAACCAGATGCTTGCAGAGGCCCAGTAAGTCATCTGGGGGCCCCTAATGTATTGCTAGCAAGTATGTAAAACATCTTTCCCAAAGGGAGGATATGCATACAATTGTGTGATTACTTAATTAAATGTTCCAAGATGGGGTGTAAACGTTATATCTTCCGCTGACGTACATCTAAGTAATGAGCTAGAAAACGCCATATTGTAATATTTAGTTTCTGTAGATAAAAGCAAAACTCAGAACAGTCTTTTACCTGTAAGCGATTCTTGTTGTTTTTTTCATGTAGCCCCCAGGTAAGCCAGAGAAGAAGATGAAGCCTGTGAAGGAAGTCCCTGTTCAGAGACCAGAGCCAGAGAAGGTGGAGAAGACCAGGAAAGAGTCCAAGATTGTAGAGTGTAAGCAAAGGTTATATAAAATATTAAAGCCCGGGAGATAATTTGGGCATGCTGGGATTTGCCCATTGTAGTCTTTTCGTTTGAGCATTTTTGTTTTCCCATTTTCTTTGTCCTGAATTCCCCCCTTAACTTGGTTTCCCTGGACATGACTTGCCAACTAAAGCGCAGGGCTAATGCTTATTATCAGCATGTCATGAAAGAGGTGTAATCGGTGTCCCTGCTGAACGTTTGATGTCCTTAAGCACAGTAATAAAACAGCATGATTCACTATTCGCTGTAGTGAGTTGTACCGCCGGACAGGTTCGAAGGGGACTCTTGCGATGAGTGGTCCCTGTGCACACCTCTGCTGGTGACCAGTGTGAGGCCTAACCAATGGTCCGCCTGCCTGGCAACGTCTTCCCAGGCGCCCCAGCAGTGCGAGACAGCTTCGACGTGGATCAGAGCACCTCGGGCGAGGCGGAGGAGCGGCCCGACCGGGCGGACGAGCCTCCGGAGCCGTGGGAGAAGAGGCCGGAGGACCGCAAGGAGCGGGCGGGCGACGCGCGGGACCGCTGGGAGAGGAGGCCGGAGGCGGTGGCGTCCCCGGAGCCGGGGGACGAGGTGGTGGGCAGGTGGAGCTCCGGCGTCCAGAGGGAGCGCAGAAGGAGGCGGGAGGACAGCGAGCCTCGGCTCTACATCGCCTGCGACGAGAGCCACGACGCGCAGGACCCCCTCGCTCACGCGGACAAGGGCCCAGGTAGCGCCGCTGACCGCCCTGACTGCTGACCACACTGAGCTGCGAAGCCTCGCGCGTGCCCGTCTGGGGACGGTGGGCGGGGACGTGTTTCCGTGGCACAGTGTTGTCCGTCTCCTCGAGCGACTCTGGAAGATCTGTCTTTTTACACGGTGCAGTCATGTGACGATCACACCAGGGGACACTGGTTGGCACGGGGTTTGCAGGGATTGCTTTTTCCCCTTTATTTTGACCCTTTTGCTTTAGAATCTTGCGGTTCGGTTTTTAAATTACGAGACCCTTGTTGGCAAGCGAGGTTGTTTTCTGCGACATGAATCCTGTGACGTATCGATATGTATTTTTCCACTTTTGTTACAGACAGAGGTCAGCCTGTTCTAAATCTGGGTATGGACCTTAAACTTGACTGGATGACCGTGGAAGACTTCCAGAAACATCTGAATGGGCAAGATGACATCCTCTCGGCTGCGACTATATCATCCAGTGAGTGACGGCGACGGATTCAGGATATTGCATGTCCTGCTTGGAAGAAAAAGCATCTGCTTTGCTGTTAACTTTTTACAGATGGATACCGATTTATTTTCTCTTCTGCTCTTTAAGGTGAACTTCGGGAGTCCGTGAAAAGTGGAGATTACTTGACCGTGAAACTTGCCCTGAATTCTAAAGAGGATTATAATTTGGATCAGGAGGTACTTGTTTTAATTTAGGGGGGGAGTTAGCAATGATGTGCGTACACAAGTTTGTGAGTTCACTGGAATGAGTGAGTGGTCTTGTTGTTGTCTAATGTTTAAAATGGGAGTGGGGGGGAGGAGGGGAGCTTGATTTATTGCAAGTCAACTCTCCCACATTGTTAACTGTAGCAAAGTCCAGGCACTTCAGAAGTCTACGGAAATCAAGACTTTGATACATGAGCGCTCTGGCTGTTGGCGTGCGCTCCTAGCCTTGCTTCAGTGTGAAACCCTGCCGAGCTCACCGTGTGCCGCGCGGCGCGGCGCTGTGCTCCCCAGGACTCCAGCGGCATGTCCCTGGCGATGCTGGCCGCTGCGGGGGGACAGGACGACATCCTGCGGCTGCTCATCACGAAGGGCGTGAAGCTGAACGCCCGGCAGAAGGCCGGCACCACTGCGCTCATGCACGCGGCCGAGAAGGTATGCTGTCTTGCTTCTGACCCCGTACGGGTTCCTCGCACACAGGGAGAGGAGACGGCTTCTCTGCCGCCAGCTCAGGCATCCGATGGGCACTAAGACTGCCCGCTCATGCCTTGAGAGCTGGGGGTCGCCGTGTAGGATATTCATGTGGCTCTTCCGTCAGTCTTGTGACATGTGCATGACCTTCCAATTTCATGCACTGTAAAATATCTGAACTTCTGTCCCGTGCAGCTGTGATTCAGTCATTTGATCCGTCTTGCTAATGTTCTACTGAACATTGAGTTGCACACGTAGCATGTCTGTAGGCGTGTATACAAAGCTATTCTAAATAGCATTTGCTTTTTTCCCCCCCAGTATTAAACTATTTTTAACATGTAAGAATACATTTTTCTGAAATGAATGACTTGGGTATGCTCGGGAAGGTATATTGTACCTGGATTTGATACTCCATTCAATTCTTTTCATTTCCTTTTGATTTTTTGAAATCAGAATTTTTTGCCGACGGTGGCGATTCTTCTGGAGGCTGGGGCCTACGTCAATGCGCAGCAGTCCAGCGGGGAGACCGCTCTCATGAAGGTGAACTGGAGGGGTTGTCTCGCTTCTTTTAGGTTCTACATGTTATTTGACTTGCCAGTTGTGTGATGTACTAAACTTGCAGTGAAATTCTAATCCCGAATGCAGTCATTAGGGACTGCCCTTTTCTAAAGAACGCACACGTGTAACAGCTTGTCTGTAAAGGTTTATTCCCTGCTGGAAAGAGAAGAAAGAAAACAACGTTTCGGCTGTGGAGCCTTCTCCCATAGCTTGTTTGTTGTGAACTTGTTAGTAAATAAAGGTGCACCACCAATTGGTAGCATTATCAGAATGGCTATTGATATTGTAAAATTGCGCACTTGGCAGCTTGTAGGGAATCTGTTACGTGTAATGTATACCAGCGTTTGTTTAAATGTCCTACTACACATCATGTGTTTTTTATTCTCTTTTTGATTATGCAGAGACGGAGAGATGAGATTTTGTTAGTGGTTTTGATGTGGATATTTTTGTAAATTGGCGAACGCAACAAATCTTATTATTGTAATTACTGTTGTTTTCTACAGAGCAGCCCTGGGTACAATTAATTTTAATTTTTGAAGCCTGTCTTCAAAATTTTAAGTATAGCCCTTCAGCTTTTCAGATTGCATTGAGATCTACAAAATGAACATAAATTCATAAATAGGAATCTGTTGTAGTATAAAAACAGCAGGAATTGATTTTCATAGGTTCCTGAAAGTTTAAATGAAGGTGAATATGTAATCATAAGGTACTGGTATTAGCCAGCAAAACTTTAGCTGGTAAACTCTTTATAAAGCCTGTGAAAGGTACTTAATTTTCCCGGTAAACTGGAGGTGCTGTACACTCCTGGATATTTCTGTGTGCGGCTAGACTCCAGCTTAATCACAACGTTATATCCCGGATTTAATTTTTTTCAGGCATGCAGGAAAGGGAATGCTGAGATTGTGCGTCTCCTTCTGGAGTATGGGGCCGACTGCAACATCCTGTCCAAACACCAGAACAGCGCGCTGCATTTCGCCAAGCTCAGCAATAACGTCCTGGTGTACGACTTGATCAAGTCCCACATGGACACGTGAGTGCTTCCTGTCCTGTCTCTTTTGCCGGCGCGTGTGGTGCTTTTGTCATCGGTGAAACTTGGGGTGCACTCTGTATCAAGCCTATGGCATAGCAAGGCAGAACTTGGTCCTAGAAAAGGATGTTGGAGGAGGGATGATGGTAGTGGAGTTGTTTATGGTGGATTCTCAAATTTAAGATAATCATGTGGCATTAGAAGTAGTTTACAATGGAAAATGAATTAAAATACATGAGAACATGGATATTTTGAGATGGCTTCGTTAAGTAAGTTTTTATTTTGTTGGTGAGCTTGAAAAACCTTCTTGAAAAACTGCCCAGCTGATGCAGCTCATCTGGCCGTTGGCTTGTGTTGCAGTGTCCGGCAGGAAATGCCACAAAGGACTTACTGAGTGCGCTACTCGTGTTGCATGCCCGGGCCTTCTCACAATCGTGTACACAGGCAAGCACAGCTAGCGTGCTCGGGGTAAGAGTGGTGTGCTGTGTGTGCCCAGGCTGTCGAGTGTGGCGGAGGACACCATCCGGGATTACTTCGAGACCCGCCTGGCTCTGCTGGAGCCCGTGTTCCCCTTAGCCTGCCACAGACTCTGTGAGGGGCCGGACTTTTCCCTGGAGTTCAACTACAAATCCCACAGTCCAACTGAAGGTACGGAGAGAAAGCTTTCAATACACGTGCGTAATGCTGTTTTGGTTAAATTAATCGCATGTAAATAACTAGGTGATGCAAATCTAAGACTTGTATTGGGGATTTAAAAAAAAAAACCCTGTTTCCTGCCAGACGTGCAGTTTTGTCTCGGTGTCTCCATGCCTGGCGGCGGGGGCTGTCCTCCGCCTGCGTCTCTGCAGGTTCTCACCTTGGCGTGACTCGGGGAGCAGTGGCGCGGCGGTGGTGTTGTGGGTAGTGCCGCAGCGCCTGATTCCGGATTCTTGCGTGGAGTTTGTGTGGAATTTGTTACTCGTCCAGTGTCCACCCACCTTTCAGAGGCATGCCGGCTGGGCAGCTTGGCGTTTCGTGTGTGTGTCCCAGCCAGGGCGCACCTTCTGCTTTATCCTTTTGGAATAGTCTTCGGGATGCTGCGACCTTTACTGGGAATAAGCAGCCTTCTGGTGATGGACTCCGAGAGGTCAAAGATCTCGGGAAAAGTCTGAGACCATAGAATTGTCTTGGGAAGTGCTCGAACCTGAAGTGTTGCCTTTTTTCCTTTTCAGGGTCTGGGATTCTCCTGTTCATATTCCACGCAAATTTCTTTGGTGGCAACGAGATCACAGCGAGGCTGTGTGGGCCCTGTAGTGTACAAGCAGTGGTTCTCAATGATAAGTTCCAGCTGCCTGTATTTCTGGTAAGCATAGCGTTCTCCTCATTTACACAGGACCATGAAGGAAAATTGAAGTGGTTCCAAGCTCTTGTGATGCAATCCTCAACAGGTCAGGTGTGGCCTTGCTGTCAAGGTTGTAGTGCTTCCAGTTTTCTTGTGCAAAACGAGTCTTGACATAAGTCACTTGTGCATAACGTTTTGTAATTGAATTGCTGTCTTACCTCCCATAGTGAGCAACTGGCTTATGGTGCACACTTTTCTGTGGTTGTGCAATTCATCATAAAAACTAATCTTTCATTTGTTCTGAAATGTGGAAGGACTATTGTGGTAAAGGAGTAAGATGCTAGGCTAGAAGGTCCATTCTTTTACAGTTCACATTCATTTTCTGGATATCCTGCTAATCAGGTTTGCAATGAATGGACCTTCTTGGATATAATTGATTAGGAATGTCCTTTCCAGACAAAAGAGCACTGGAACCTCTGTAACATTGCTCTCATCACTTTTGGAAAGTCTTATTGGAGTGGATGATTTGCTTAAAAATGTGCAATATTGCGATGGAGACCTACCCCTGACTTAAGTATTTTGGAGATATTTTTTTGAGGGTGTTTTCAGTGAAATCTTAAACCCGCAATGACTGATCAGCTAAAATGCAAATCTAGGTGAAAGAATGATAATGCTTTTTTTCCCCTCCATCTGTCTTCTAGGACAGCCATTTCATTTACTCCTTCAGCCCTGTGCAAGGAATGAATAAACTCTTTATAAGGCTGTGTGAAGCTCCAACAGCAAAGGTAAGAGCCAGGCTTCGTTTTAAGATGGGAATGTTTCATGTTGCAGTGATTTAAGTGCTGCACATAGGAATTTAGTCTCCTGACTGAAGACGACATTATTTTTTCTATTTCAGGTTAAGCTTTTAATTAGCGCATATAGAGTGCAGCTGCAGTAAGGAAGAGAAAGCTCCATGTTTGCTCTATGGAAGAACCGGACCTCCACCGGCTGCTGACTGCGAAGAGAGGGGGGGACATTTCCACACCCCGGGTGTCTGAAGGCTCGGAGCCAGCGGTTTGCTTCTCCGAAGATGAGATTAAAGTAACAGGAAATGCATGGGGAGGGTTAATTTAATTTCCAAGGCCAGTAGAGCGCTCTTCCCGAATGTTAACAGCTTTCAGGAGACGGGCTGTGATCTGGCGATGTGGGTCCAGCGCTGGTGCCAGCTCTGTACATAGGTTTGGTCTGAGGGGTCTGGAGTGTCTCGAGGGGCTCGGGGAGCTTGTCGGGAGTGGGTCAGCAGTGGGGTCTCGTGCGCGGGCGTGGGCGAGGCAAGGGCGGGGGGTGTTCTGCACCGACAGCCCGCGGGGGGCTTCCGATCCCTGAATCATTCGTTTCCGGACCAAGCTGTTAATCCGCCCCACGCCATTTTACAACAAATATTTTCTCTGCAGAGAGACCTTCTGGGTTTTGCCTTTTATGGATGTTTATTTATTTTTTGTTCCTCATTCAGCAAGTGCATTGATAGAGGCGGGGGGGTGGGGGGTGGAGAGCTGCCTCAAGGGCCACAGCTCGCTCTCCAGACAGGGGAATGGGCGAGGAGGCGCGTCCTTCATATAACCATTTCTTTGGGGCGAAATGTTTTACAAGAGCAGCATGACCAAGCAAGATTTAATCCTGTGTCCAGGGGTCTGTGTAAGGTGACCTGAAGGTCCCAGTTTGTTCAGGAGCTCGTTGGGTTAAAGAGTAACGATTCTCCAGGCAGAAGTGATTGACCTGTTGGTTAAAATGCAGTATGAAGCTGCCGTCTTCTATTACGATTACAGTTTAATTGAACAGGTGTTGTTACAGCTGCAGCCTCTCTCTATGGCTGTTATTCACAAAACCTTAGACCTTAAGAGTCCAAGTTGTAGCTTCCTGGGGGATTAGTTGAAATCTTTCAGTAAATTACTATAATATTTATTTCCCATGTTTCTATGGATGGAAGTGTTTTCCTAATTTTACATTTGAGGTTGTCATCCTAATGTGGGGGAAGTATGCTTCCCCAAGAGCTTTTTTGTTTAAATTGCACTGTGAGCAGAATTGATCATTTATCGCCAAATTACCATTAAAATCCCTGCGGAAGCTATGTCCTACAAACTTCAGTGTCATTTTTATGCAGTACCCAGGTCTAAAGATCTGTTGCACATTTATCTGCAATACTTTTGTTTGCAGAACAAAAACTTGTAAACATGCGGTTCAGCCCGTCTGGCGGGCGATTAATCCAAAGCTCTAACCCTGCCTTCTCGTCAGACGGCCGCACCAGCAGGGCATGCTGGGGGCTTGTTCCAGGCTGCGTGACCATTTGTGTGACAGTTGAGAGCAGTGGGGGATTCGCGTTTCTCTCTCTGAAGAGATCAAGGTACTTGCAAAGCAGGATCTTTGTTTTTGTGTTTTGTGCCCAACTGGGCTATACGTGTTCTAGTAAGAGGTAATTATGTGCATTTTTATTTGAACGGTTAAGTCTGGTCTTGCCTAACTTTTATAAAATCAGCACAATAACTTTTTGCATCTGTCTGAATTGGAGTTAAATTAAAGCAGCGCTAGACCATTTTAAACTCGCATGCTTGTCTGTTGAATGCTCTCTGGACAATTGTACAAAAAATAAAAAAATCGTGTTGAGATCGAAGGGTGGCATTTTCCACAGGCTTGGAAGCCGTTCTGTTTTAACATTTATTCCTAGATGTTCAGTTAGTCTCTTTTGTCCCTGAATACTATGTTGTAAAATGTCTGCATTGCAGACCCCTTTTTGCAGCTATTTTAAAGCTTCTGGGTCTGACTTGCAGACGTCATTGTGGCCCAGTTCATACCCGACAGGAAAGCAAGCATTTCTGCATAGTCCAGATTGAATACAGAATGTTTAGGTAGAGCATCCGTCTTGGAAAACAGAACATGATCATTAAACTAATGATTTGTAAGTACTTTTCCTGGGCTTTATTTTGTCAAGTATTTGACTTCTTATTTCTATCTGCGTATCATGGGTTATAGTTATGCTCCACGAAGCTTAATTTTATCTACTGCAAATTATGGCTTTAGTAGGAATGTTTCATTTCAGATTTTTCAGTAACTACGCTTACCTGTTAGGGCTGTTATTGACTGAATTTAAGAGGGAACTCTAAGCATATTTTCAGGTTACTGCTTTAAGACTCCTAAAATTTAAAGAATACACACGAGTTTCATTACATTTAAAGTTTGTTCCTGTACATCTCCTTTGTGAAGTGATGCTGCGTGTCCTCATGGACACTGGTTGTGCAGTAAGCCAAGTGCCTTCTTGATCAGGGGCGTGAAGAAAGGACAGCATGGTAATATCCATTTAATGAATTTAGCTGTAAGCACTGTGCAGCAGAGACTAACGATTCTGGGGTGTATGAGCTTTGGCAGCAGGAAACTGGGTCATCCCAAACGTAAAATCAAACCAAACTTTGGGGGGGGAAACCTCTCAAATCACACTACACATTTTAAGTAGTGTTAATGTATTCATATAGGTAAACATTTCAGTTAGTTTCAAAGATCCAATATTTAACAATCTTCTTTCAAAGAATTTAAGAGACCTGCTGCTATCCTTGAATTGTCACTGCTTTATACGAGTGATTTCCACCTTTGGTGCTTGTTGAAACACCTTCATCCCTTCAGGCTTTTTTGTTTTGCTACAAACTGGTTTGTACTTCTGCATTTTCACTGTGACCTGGGTACAGTCAATCTTTTTCTTTTGGAATTATAAAGTTTGAAGTGGCTCATGTTTCCTTTTACGTTGCAATGGCTGTCCACTTCATTTTTGCAAATATAAAAATGTATTTAAGCTATTACCAACCTTACAAAATGCTGGTTTATGTTTTTGCATTAAAAATAATGCATCTTTATAAAAATATGGCCTGTTGTGTTTTTGAACACCTGAAACATCTGAGGTATTAAGATGAGCTGAAGCCTTATGTCCCTTTTCTGTTCTGTCATTTGCTTCAGTACAATTATGATAAAGGACAGGTGGCCTTCTCCAGCCATTTACACTTGGCATTTATCCATTTTTCCCTAAGAGTGCTTTTTTGCCAATTACAACAGACCAAGCAGTGACTTAACTCCCCAAATGCATGTAAAAAAAATGAAGGACAGCATGCTGAATTGTTTAACTTTTTAAGCAAATCTGTTATAAATTCTAAAATTGGCTTATGGTGCATTTGCTTTGGAAATGGGCTGTGCCTTATTCAAAGTTAATCTTGGTCTCTTCAGAATGTTTAGTCTCTAGACTCTAGAAGTGGTTTTCAGGTGACTGAAATCTGCAATTGGATGTTTAAATATAGGCCTCATTTACTATTGTGTATACCTTTAGAGACCGTCTTAACAAGGGAGAGTTCCCCAATACAGATAATGTGCAAGAAAATGAGAATTCTTTAGTTAATGCATGTTAATCTCCTTTAGTGTGTGCAAGGACCTTTCCAATGGAAAAGCACACCTTATACACAGATTCTAATAACTAACATTGCAGCAGGAGTGGCTGGGCTACCAGACCCATTACTGGAGTGGTGTGGGTTCAGATCCAGGTAAGACCAATTTTGTTGAACAAGTGGAAACAAGCCACCTCCAAAGGAATTAATAATAAAATGCATCTTATGCTCATAGTACTGTTCAAAAACATGACAGAAGTGGACTTTAGCTGCTACATCATTTATGATGAAGGCAACAACTTCACAAAACAGAATAAAAGCTCTTAAAAACAACTGGCAGATGGTAAACTTAAAAAAAGACACCAGATGGTTCAGCATTTCAACTTTATTAGATGTGGCAAGCCATTCATATTTAACTGGATATTCTGCAACACACAAAAAAAATACAAGTGCAGTCATTTCAGTTCCTCATGATTGGCAGGGAAGGGAGAGACTTAACATCCACATCCTACAAGAATCTGAGAAAACACGAAGTATAGCAAGAGGAAAATGTGAGGACATAAGTGACTGATTTTGGCATATACAGCTGCAAAAAAGAGGTAACATGGTGGTGCAGTGGCTGGCTTTGCAGCCTTACAGCACCGTGGCACCACTATCTGTGTGGAGCCTGCATGTTCCCTCTGACCCTGGTGCGAGTGTGTGCCTTTTGAGAGAGCGGTGTCCCAGCCAGGGTGTATCCTACCTTGTGCCTGTGGCTTGCTGGGGTGGGCTCGTTCTCGTGCTCATTCTAGAAGACTGAGTGATTATATAACAAAATGTCAGGCTAAACTAGTACACCGCTGCGTACAGCACAAATGCATATGATTCATATTGACTACACAACCCTGAGTGTTCCAAATGTTGTTCAATTACAATACCGGCAACACAGGTTTTTGTACAGTGCCTTGCAAAACTATTCAAACCCTTATCTATGGTGTCACATTTTGTTAAATAAAATAACTTTTTAAATATTTAATTCCTGGCCAAATTTCCCATTGGCCTTTACCAATCATGGCCTCCTAATTATCCCCCTCTCTGAACTGGCCTCATCACTCTGCTCTCCTCCCCAAGCAGATTATCCCCTAAGATCTGTCAGGACTTTGCTCCATGTTCCCTTCAGTCCTGACAAGATTCCCAGTCGCTGCTGATGAGTGTCAGAAACCGAACATACTGCTGCCACAACCCTGCTGGACAGTAGGAGTGGTACTGACTGCGTGTTGCACGAGGCTGGATTTGTATCAGATGTAACTCTGGAAAAAGTCCACATTTAGAATTGTTTGACCACAAAAGAAAAGTGTCACAAGTTTGCAGCATAACGTGTTGCACACCCAGTGCAGGATATGCAATATGGGTTATTCAGAACCATTTAACCCCCTTTGTGGAGAGCCCAGGGTGTAGCTGACCCATTGACACTATCCCTGGGCCCTCAAGGTTTAGTCCTGGCCTTGAGACTTAGCGTGGGCGGCCTGATCTGAGTGTCTGAGCGGTATGAAGCATGTTCCATTTCTGGATACTAGAGTAGACTGCTCACAGGGATTTTCAGAGACTTCAGAATTGTTTGTACTCTTATACTGATCTGTGCTTTTCAATAAGTTTCTCCCTGTCTTGCTTTAAAAGCTCCCTAGTCATCATGGTTGACTCTTCACCACCTGACCAAGACCCCTCATAGATAGAGGTGTATTTATTCTGAAATCATGAGGACCACAGACAGATGCCACTTTGTTTCAATACATATCAGGACTTACTCATTTCTCTTTCATATTAATCATCCATTTACTTCTTTCTCTCCTTTGCTTTGAATACTTGGAGGAAGTTATATCAAATATTTCTGCTTCAAAAAGTAATGACTGAAAGTTTTAAAGCTTTAAAGAAAATGTGAAAATTATGCAAGGCTCTATCTACTTTTGTAAGGCACTGTATGAAAGACAAACAGTGATTTCAGAAAAAGTCTTTCAGCATTGGGACATTTTCAATGAGACATGGTATCTATTTTTGGTGCCCAACATATTTATTCCACCTCAAGCACCATCCTGTTGCAATTTAAATTATTAGCACAAGGGTAACGGCTTACCTTCAGAGTCCTGGAAGCTGATACACAAAACGAAAGGCTGATAAAAAATACAAAACTACCCCTGTAGCTCAGCTTTATATTCTCAAATTTCAGTTTTAAACTTACATACTAAAAGTCTTACACTTGGTGTCTAACTTTAACGATGTATCCATTTACTTACAAAATATGAAGAAGATTTTCACCTGAATACTTGAGCCTACAAACGAGAAAATATAAAGATTACAAATTAAAACATGGAACAAAATGCATACTATTTATGTATTTCAATTCATCAGGGGGTTTGGCTGTGGAAAAGCCTATAGCTAGGGAGTGATATTCTCAGCCACGATTCACTTTCACTTGAAAAATATCCGCTCTGTAGAGATGCGTCTACACCTACAGCTGCGCAGTGTGGAAAACTTTTGAGGACACCCATGAGTCCCAGGTTCCCTTGCTGCAAACCTGCGGCTCAAGACGCTGTCTAATTGTGTTACAGAAGCGTTATGTTCTCCTGCACCTCAGACTGTCATCGGTTCAATCACTCTATTGCGGTGCAGTCACATTTCAACAATGGAAAACAATGCTGTCACTGGAGCAGGAAACCGAGCCCGCTCAAGTCCGGGTGTGTAAAACTTTTAGAATGTTTAATTTGACAACAGGATTGTACCCACCCGACCTGGGCGTGCTGGCTGGGTCTGTCCGCTCTGTCCACAGCAGCGTGGGCCCCCGTGGGGAGAAAGCTGGTACGCAGTGTGCTGTGCCCCTCACAGGGGCAGGGGTCAGCGCCGTGCAGAGCTGACGCTGGCGCTCAGCTGGCCTGCGCTGTTGCCCAACAGCTGGATCGCAACACAATTTCACAGCGAGCGCCTGCAGCAGGCAAAAGGAGTTTCACTAATGGTAATAAATGAGGCGGATGGAACTGTGCTGGTAAATTCATCTCCATGTACAGGATCTAAGCCAAACCAGACAAATAATGCAAAAAAAAAAGCATTTATATTATCGAATGCTATATAAAAAGTGTAAGTGGCACATTATGGTCAAACTTGTTACAGATGAATATTTACACTGGCCTGAAGAGACAGGGGTTTACACATCTATTTGTAAGAAGAAAGGCCCTTACCTGCAATACCTCCCAGTGCACCTGCAGCCTGAGTCCTCACCGTTCGTTACCGCCCTCAGCACACGACTTCTCTGAAAACAGAAAATAATGCACACTGAGACCTAGATCAAGACCAGCACCCTGGTGTTCATCACTGTGTGTGCAGTTTTCACATGGCTCTTGCTATAGACAGGTGAAAGCAGGGCCCTTTCAAGTGCTGTTACTGGTATCTAAGTTTGTGTTTGCTTTTTTGGGGAGGTTAGAACCCCAGAGCGGGATACAGCACAGTACAACACCTACAGTATTCAGAGGGCTTCTCGTTTTAAGCAGACTCTTCAAATAAAACCGTGA